ACAGAGGAATTACAAAAGCCTTCTTATAATTCTGTATAAGATGACTGCCTTCTAATATGAACGTCACATCAAGTGGCGTCGATCATTGGCGTGCGCATTCTTTACAAAGACGACGTGAGAGTGAACTGGTCCAGGCACAATGGTTCCATTTACTCATTTTATATACGGTACCTATTTACACTAAATAGGAAATATATTTTACCTAGATATACTAATCTTCAAAAAAAGTTCTAGAATTTAATTTGCAGAATGAAAAAGTTAATATTGCAAGCTCATTAAGCTGCACCGATGTCATCCTTATCAATTATTGTAGCGGCCTAGCAAATATTCAATGCTGATCAGTGCGGCCAGAAAACCAAGCAATATAACAACAGTAAATAACTTTTAGGGTACCGTATTTTCAATACATTTGATTTTGATTAAACAATGAAATAGATAAGCCTATGCCGATTTATTTTACGGTACTCCACAATATGAAAATCATTAAAATATCATCTATCTTTGGAGAGAATTATATGTTTGAGTTAATAAAAATCTATACTCGGCTTGCTATATATCTGTAAGTACGTCTATAGCTTACTATGTATTTGTAAGTAGACCTATATAAATTCAATCTTTCTAAACATTGCACTTAACCAACTACATTTTGAAATTTATGTGGCTGTTTATTCTCCAAGAAAATAAGTGTAATTAATTTGGAACAATATCTGATATTCCAATAATCTTAGACTAGCCCAATTATTGAAAATATACTATTCAAAAAAAATAGGGGATATTTGATTTTGGGGGCATAATACTAAAATATGCAAATGATAACGAAAAAAGTCACTATAGAACCTAACAGAAGAAACATTTCCAGTTACATGTGACGCCCAAACGCACCAATAGCTACCGCATGGAATGCAGGTGATGCTTGGGATCATCATGGGGGTCCAACCCAAGATTTGCACGACTCTGACTTTGAATGTTACAGTCATTGTGGCATTGAATTCCAGGGTGGAAACATCAGTTTAATTGTTTTAGTGACCAGAAAACAAATTTTGATATGCGTCGGCTTACCCAAAATGAAAGGTTACGTGCCCTTGGCATGCTACAGATCGGCACAACACAGGCGGTTGTGGCGCGGACGATAAATGTTTCTCAGTCTGTCATAAGCAGGCTATGGTCCAGATACCGTGATACACAATCTGTACAGGACAGACCACGCTCAGGTCGACCAAGGGCGACAACTCAAGCCCAGGATCGATTTATCCGTACCTTGGCCTTGAGAAATCGTGTCATCACAGCAAATCAGATCAGCGCTCGTCTTCAAACAGACACTGGTGTGAGAGTGAGTGGCCAGACGATTCGGAATCGACTGCATAGGGGTCACTTTCGCACCCGACGTCCTCGCGTGATCCCTTGTTTGAGAGATCATCACATTCAGGCAAGACGTCGTTGGTGTAGGGATCGTCAACACTGGGATAATCGACGCTGGAGCAATGTGATGTTTTCAGATGAGTCAAGGTTCACTGTTGATTTTTTGGACAGACGTAGGAGGGTGTGGCGTCGTCGAAACAAGCACTTCCAAGACGTTAACGTCATCAGACATGATCGATTTGGGGGTGGTTCTGTTATGGTGTGGGGAGGCATCACTGTTGCTGGAAGAAGGGCTTTACATGTTGTTGCAGGGCGTGTTACAGGCCAGTACTACCGGGACAACATCTTGGCAGTCCATGTTGCGCCGTTTCATCTTCCAGGATGACAACGCAAGATGTCACAGGGCCAGGATCGTTACAGGTTACCTCCAACAACAGAACATCACCACATTACCTTGGCCAGCACTGAGTCCCGACCTCTCCCCCATTGAGCATGTCTGGGACATGCTTGGACAGAGGTTACGTCAACGTCAACAACGTCCTGCCAATGTCCAAGAACTTGCTGCTGCGTTGCAACAGGAATGGGACAATCTGGACCAAAATGACCTTAGACGTCTCATTAGGAGTATGCCACGTCGGATCAATGCTTGTTTGGCAAACAGAGGAGGATTTACCCGTTACTGACTTGGTTGTGATGCTGTGGTAACTTTGCTGTTTGACCCCGGGTATCATTTTACCCTTATAATGGTCAGTCTGTGCCTTACTTAGTCTAACGATCATTTGGAATAAATCGATGAATGTGAACTTCATTTCATTTTGTCATTTGTTTCTTCGTCAGTTTCATTAGGTGACTTTAATAACACTTAAAAATCAAATATCCCCTACTTTTTTTGAATAGTATATAATCACTGACCTTCTCCGACTGAGTACTTTTGCTACAGGAGTAGACGCAGTACTCTTTGAAAGCCACAAAAAAGTATTATGATTTGGAAATTTGAGAGCATTGCACATTAAATAATCTGATTTAAACATTGAAAACTAATTCCTAAATTGGTTGATTACCATGTTAACTTGGTTTAAAGGAGCTAAATCGCTAATATTTGGGACCTAGAAATTGACACAAATGGGTCGCAATGCATATAATAATGCAGTCGTTGTTGTTTGTATTTCAGAGGAGAGCCAAAAAAGCCCCCCTCAATAAATGAATTGAAAAAATCACTCCCCTCAAAAAACTCTCCCAGTTTTGATAAGAAGAGTGATTTAAAAATTAAGGAGAGTGATCTGATATTAAGGAGAGTGATTAGTTATGTGCATGGGAAATGGTGCTAAGATCAGTAACTGCATGTAATGGGGTCATTCCTGGTTTCATAAATGATAATAAACCCCAAATGACTATGTAAAGGTGAGCGATTTTCAGTTTTAAGGGGAGGGAAAAAACTCCCCTCAGTCGGCATTCAGGTGAGCGACAGGTGCTCGAGAGCGTTCGCTCGCTTTAAAAAACAATGACTGATAATGTAATATGAATGTATATAAACTGACACACTCTCAATCATTTCCGTTTTTACTCTAATTTCAAATCAGTCATGTTAAGCGAAATATGCCTGAAGTGTCAATTGAATGGCAATCTCTAACGTCTGGTTATTCCAGTCTACACAGATAGTATTTATTGCGCATGCTCTCCAGATAAGGATATGGCCTCACCGTTTGACATGATTTGTGGAATATGTCTAGCCACGTTCTTCGAGTCCCTTATTACAAATGGCGCTGAAATGCATTTTGTACCAATGGTAAAATGTTTATTTTGTCTTAAAGATTGGATATCAGAAGCCCATATTTTCACGATACGATAACAACACCAATGTTGATTGAAATTGACAAATAATTCGTGTTTCCAATGTCGAAGACTTTGGATGAAATTGAGTTAAGAGACTTAGCTACTTTAAGCGACATTATCGGGACATAAAGAATGGTAGAGTGGTTAAATGGTCACTTAATTGTCCTTATATAAACATACACAGTTATCTGCCTGACTGCACCGTCCGTGAGATTTTCGGAAGTGAGCAAAATGTAGTCTTGCGCACGTGAATTTAGAGGTCGCAGCAAATATACATCATAAATAGGATTCCACATGGTATTATACAAACATAACTCTTATTCTCACTAAGAGTTATCTGCCTTGATTATGGAAGTCGGGTAGATTTTAATGCATTTATAACATTTCCAAATGGTTATATCTTCAAAAATCAAATGTGGTCAGACTTCCATTGTTTTTATGTTAAGTCTTTTCATAATGTTAAAATAATCCCGAAATAGTTTCCGTTTGTTGTAAAAAAAATTGAGCATGAACCACTCTAACAATGGTCCTTAATCAAGAATATTTCATGTACCATGTTTAAACTGTTAAAATTTCCAATTAATATGTACATATTCAACAATTAGTATCATTTAAGTTGAATAATGGTGACAACTTTTTCTAGTTTGCATAGTCTTATTGCCGCTTAATAAGTCAAAGCACAGCACCAGTCAAAGCACAGCACCTACTAATGCACAAGACTAATAAACCAGCATATGGCCTGAAAGTGAAATGCGTATGTTAGTTACATTCATAATTAGACAAGATTTATAATGGCCTGAATTGGGCATGTTTGGGGTATATCTGTTCTGACAACATTAACAATTGATATTCACAAGATTCATATTTGAGACAAGGATTTTGATAGAAATTTTCAAACTGAATACATGTATAAATATGTTTTGTTTAGAACAGTACATTGTAGTTTATAATGTCAATTAAAATGTGTGATATTTAAGACTGGGTGATAAGCTTGTAAAGTTTGTCACTAATGAACACTGTTCTGTAACCTGTTCTATTAAAGAATTAAGGGTACCACCCGGTTAAGGTATTGCTTTACTACAGGTTGGATCCACAACTAATGAGCTATGCCTTGACACTTGGCAATTAAAAGTTTTATTTAGAATCATCATCATCATCAGAGCCTATTTTAGTTGGATGGCATCAGAAAATATAGCCCGAGTTTCCATTTTAAGGTTTGGCCTAGAAAAGGCCCAATAATAGTGTAGGGCAGGGCTAATTTATAAATCAATAATTAAAAAGAATCCTGACCTACTCTAGATTTAATTAGATTTGTTAAGTCATTAGAGGCTAGACACTACAACAAAACTAATCATATATTTCAGTTTCTTCTAAATTCGGGGAAAATATATTCATAATAAATCTCCGTTTTTACAATGACAATAACAAAAGAACACTGAATTACATGATATGATGAGCTAAAAATAGACGTCACACGGTCTTGCCAACACACGCAATAAATTTTTAAATTTGGATATTTATAATTAGATCTAGTATACAATAGCAAAGCCAATGAAATATTATCAAATTCATTCACAACCTGAACTAAATATTAATTTCAATATGAAATCAAACACTAAGTCCACTTCATGTGATCACTACACTATGGTTTGGAAATAGTACTCGACTGAACACAAACAAAAGCATGTGGCCTAGATTTTGCCGCCATTTCTTATTCGATGGAGGGGCGATTCGTGCAGACGATTAATTTTCCTTTAGCCTTGCAGTAACGATTGTGTTTGCACTAAAATAAAAATACAAATACTCACTTATATTAGAATAAAATTCCATAAAAGTGGTTTCTTAAGAGTGGAGGGCTACCGTTAGTTATATAAGGGCAGTTACACAGCATAAACTTCATCAAAACATCCGCCCCAATGTATGACTGAACGTGGAATGCTATGACCTACTAGTCACGAGACATGATCGACACAACAAGCTATCGGAATTGTTAAGCGAGAAACGAAATTTCACGAAAGACAGGGTTCGCGTTTCTCTGGAAATTGGGACAGTTGGTAAAAGGAGCGCTTAGTTTCTATAATGTAGTTTAAAATTGAATATTTATTATTTCTACTTAAACTAGACATGTATCTATTAGACCTACCGATATTGCATTTTTGAGTGGTCTGAAAGTTGTTGGGTTTTGATCACTAGACTAGTACGTAGTATTAGAAGTAGAATATAACTAGGGCTGGGGACAGGATAGGAAATATTTTTTTTCTTCCAATAATACGGACACTTAAATTACTGTGGCTTTTGAATTTAATAAATGTTTTGTAATAGATTACAAAGGTCCATTTCTTGCCGAGTATAGGCCTGCTTTCATTTATCTAAAAATCGATGTATCCGAAAGATCGATCAGCCTAGTAGGCCTACAATTAGTACCGGTAGGCTAAATATAAGCGAAGCGAGGCCTGTTACAAGTTATCTTGATACGAGGTCAAAATGAATAGTTCTACATAGTTATTGACTGCCGAAAAGGCATTAATTACAAATGTGCTCTTCGCCCAATTTTAACCCTCGATTCGATCATCAGTGGGGGACTGGGTTGCCGAATGGTTTCACGCGTACGCTTTAGGTCATAAGGTCTGTCATTGAATCAATTGGCGTGGCTTCGACTTCCTGCTTGTAAGTGACTAGTTTCGCCTGTCGTGTGTTTTCTCCGGGTCACCCAGCTGCTAAAGACCCATACGCGTGCGAGAATTTTTTAAATAAAATTGAACCATATATACGTAAGTCCCGAAATGGCCTAGATTATGTCGAGTGGACATTATACCCCCCCCTCCCCTCTCTCTCTCTCTCTCTCGAAAAGTACAGAAACCCGGAAGTACAGTGAAAAAGGAAACTGTACCATGCCAGTGCCAGGTATTACCTAAACGGCACCTGTCTTCGTCATCCGCATTCTGACATCAATAGAACTAAATTTTCCTTTGAGTAACTTGAGCAATGCGGATCAGTGGGATCCCACTTCTAAAAACCTCTAAGCGCAACCGACTTAATGACAATAGGACGTAACTTACCCCCCCCCCCCCCCCTCTCTCTCTCTCTATCTCTCTCTGGTAAATTTTATTTTTTTAGATTCAAAGGAAAGGTAATAACCTTAAAAATTGTAATGTGATGCTATGGTAAAATTAATAATGTGCAAGAAGCTATACTTCCTCCCCAATCCGCAAGATTTACGAATTCTACGGGAGAATCAATATTAACGTCTGGAATGGCTGAACGGTGACAATGCGGATTGTATGATTAAACATAAATCCTTGAGCTATCATAATATTAAAGTTTATTGACAAATTCAATAACTATATCACTGTGAATTTGTACTCGATATACACTGCACCAAAGTCTTGCCGCTTCCACAAATTGTTATCTTTTGTGCCGATAAAATGTCATTTAAATACATTTTGATTATTACCATTGCTAATCTAGTTTAACATTTCTTGACAAGCCTACTGATCCGCAGACAAACACAGGCAAAGGAAAAGCAATTAGGTTTTATAGGTATGTATTCAGAAACAACCGATTGCCAAACATAATCGGTTGTTCTAACTTCCAAACCACAAACTGGGTCTCCATCATTTCGTCTCCTTAAAAAGCAATATGTTAAGACATATTATAGGCGACGGTAAGATCCACCACAATCGCATTTTGTTTTTTAAAAATTTGTTTTTTGAATATGATTTGGAAAGGCATTCGTGGAATTATGTTATAATTTTCGGGATTAGAAGATATGTTATGCATTCCTGGCGTTTAATTCTGATTTCTAATAAATACGAAACCACCTTAGTAATAAATATTCATTGAAAGAAAGGGCAATATAATTATTACAAATTTCAGGACAAAATTACACAAAAATAATATATAAGTAGCCAACCTGATGATTTAACAGATAACAAGCACGGATCCAAACTGAAGCTAAGTTACCTAGCCAGCGTTGACGTAAAATGTTATCTATACTGATACACAATATACGTTGATAAGAGACTTCATAATCATGATACGACCCACCAAGAGGTTTCAGGGTTAAGATCACCAGGTCTCTTTAGACCTTGTGAATAAGGAAAGTATTCGCCATTTTACATGTACACCAACCCATTTGTGCACTTATTGTCTTAGGTGTACCACTGTTTTATTTCCTGTACATGTATTTGCATCTGTCAGGTTTAGCATTGGACCATGTACACATGGAACTTATATTACCTTTAAAATTACAAAATTTAATATATCACACTTTAAATATCCACTGTTGATTTCCCTACTTTTCAACCACTATCTTGTAAGCCTGATAAACCTCTGATTAGAAACTAAACAGTCTATTATTGTACATGACGATTGTCAGTTTTATGATTCATTGAACACGTTGGAAACAGTGTGTTGTCAAACACACGTGACTAAATATATTACTATACGTTCGTGAACAATTTCAGTGTACACACGAATGGGCGTGGGTTTAGGGGGTGGGGCGACCCCCACTTAGAAACTTAGAATCGGAAGGGGAAGGGGGACGAAAAGGTCTCTGCCCCCCCCCCCCCCCCCCGTGATTTTGATCGCCAGGACAGATTTTCAGGTTTATATCCACATGATGGTCGAGCTTGTTTCTACGTATCTGGAACTTATAGTCGGGACTTTGAACAAGAATTGGCATTCTTTAAGCGCCAGTTTTCGGCCAAATCTATTTCACTTGTGGACGAAGCGTTCCTCATGATGTCCCCGTGTGCGGTGCATAACAACCCAATTCATGTCGCCAAGATATTCAAAGACAACAGTCCTGGTAGTAGAACGATTCTCTTAACTTCATGAACAATTACTATTTATGCAGCGTTGATGTAGGTAGTCAATTTTTCCATATTGCCATCGTATTACCCCTAGTTACAGCCTTCATCGAAATAACACTGGTACAGTAAACTGTTTGTAATTATTTATTTCGTTTGGTAATGAAATGTTCCAGCGTTCGTCCCCCCCAACCCACACCCAAACGTTATGACAAATCCACACCCTTGTACAAACGATATCCTTTTCGCCAGTTGTTGAACAATTCTATGTAAAAACTTTTAATTTACTAATAAGCGGGGTAATATAATCATCATGGGTAATAACCTTGTTTCAGCCAACGTCTAAAGCTTCCCAAAATAACACTGCTACGGTTACTTGGCCCAAAAAATAAGGTTGGTCCGCCGAAAAACCCTTTGTGTGTGTTCGTGCGGGGGTGAGTGGTGGGTGGGATTGAATAGAAAGAACTGACTGAACTAATCAATTAATCTTTTTAATACACTTCACCGATACTTGCCAGATTTTAAATACGGTAAAGTATCTATAGCTTATTTCCTGGCATTTCTAGCTTAATATTATCCCGGAGTAAAGTTTGGAAAATAATTTGGACTCTTGTAATACCCAACTTTATCAGCCGGAAACCACACCAAGTTTGGGATCGGCGATTTCGGTTAAAAATAGGTTGATTTGTCGTGTAACCATAAACACAGGTATTATTGTTTTTTAGGAAGGGGGGAGGGATAAATATATATCACTACAGATATAATGCTTTAAAGATCAGATTCATTTGACTATTTTACATAACCGGATAGAGATTAGCCTACACGTATGGCACCCTGAATGTCACAGAGGCCTCGTGGACTATCTATATCCCATGAGTCATGACACAGGTGTGTCACGGTGTGTCAACGAAAATATCTGAATTAATAATTATTATTACGTACGTTTGTTTCCAATATTCAGCTCTGTTTTTTTTAAATTGAAGGTAACCGTAGTGTATAATTTTAAAACCCTTATTTGGTGAATTTTCTACCTTAACCGTCATAATCATATAATTTGTAAGAATATATTGAATTGCATTGGGTTACAGAAGTACAACAAAAATATATGACGCTAATATATGAAAATAGTTCGAATTTGAATTTCAGAAGCATAGGTAGTAAAGTATTTTTGCCAGTGCAGTGACTTTATATGATAGGGAGCCGCGGTGGCTCAGTGAGTAAGACCTGGACGTTCCGTGTTCGATTCCTGCGTTCGTCGAGAAAGTTCATCGGGTTTTTCAGACGTGGTTCCTCATTGTCAGTGGTGCAGGACCAAGGGCCTGGCAAGGGACAACATATAGTTGTTCGGATGGGATGAAAAATCGAGATCCAGTGTACATATTGGCGTGCACGTTCGATTCCTGCGTTCGTCGAGAAAGTTCATCGGTTTTTTCAGACGTGGTTCCTCATTGTCAGTGGTGCAGGACCAAGGGCCTGGCAAGGGACAACATATAGTTGTTCGGATGGGATGAAAAATCGAGATCCAGTGTACATATTGGCGTGCACGTTCGATTCCTGCGTTCGTCGAGAAAGTTCATCGGGTTTTTCAGACGTGGTTCCTCATTGTCAGTGGTGCAGGACCAAGGGCCTGGCAAGGGACAACATATAGTTGTTCGGATGGGATGAAAAATCGAGATCCAGTGTACATATTGGCGTGCACGTTCGATTCCTGCGTTCGTCGAGAAAGTTCATCGGGTTTTTCAGACGTGGTTCCTCATTGTCAGTGGTGCAGGACCAAGGGCCTGGCAAGGGACAACATATAGTTGTTCGGATGGGATTAAAAATCGAGATCCAGTGTACATATTGGCGTGCACGTAAAATATCCCTTGGCAGTTGTAAATCGATATTAGAGTGGACCGTAGCGCCGCTGTCCGGGTAACATTTCCATCATAGTACACTGTATGATGTATGCCCGCCTTCATTAGTCCAGTCGGAGCAGAACAGTAGGACGTTAAACCCCATTTCATTCCATTTCTTTCTATGTCATTTTGACAGTTTAATGTAATCAAGATTTAGTCTACAATCTGCATTACCAGTCGAAGCGTGGTCGTCTGTCCCAAACGGGGGTG